TGGCCATAACTGAAAAGGAGCATGTTCAAGGCTGAGAAGTCTGAGAAGCTACATGGGGCACTGAGGCTGTAGGTGGGGGTGGGAGGTGGGAGGAGTGATAATATTTCTGGAAGTTGCTTCTTTTCATGGCACAGTGTTTCCCACTGACCTCACCAGTCCTCAACTCAGAGGCCTCCATGAAATTCTTTTTATCTAGACCCACAAAGAATAGGAGTTTCTTAGGTTTCAAGTCTCCCAACACACCTTGTCAGATAAGCTGATGTGTACATACATACAGGGTGAGACCAAGGTGGCAGATTGGTTAATTATGGCGTTTCTTTAGGTGTGTGGAGACAAACAGGTTTTTTTTCTTTCTCACTCTCTTTTTGAACCATAGGTTGAAATGGTCCATGTCTGTGCCATCTGTGCCTTGCATTTGTAGGATTTTGGTTCTGGGGCAGTGGTTCAGCAAGGCTTTAAAGGGACAGTATCTACTTTGATATTTTTATAACTTGCCCTGAGGATATAGAGGGAGAATGAACAGAGTGGAGAAAAAGGTTTCTTCCTCTTCTCATCAGGCCTACCTAACATGAGGTATTTGTAAAAAGATGCTAAAGCCTGCCACTTTATTAGGATTCTAGTCTGTTCTTGACAGACTGTCACTGATAGACAGCCACAGTTTAGCATGCTTCTTAAAGAACTTAAGAAGATGGTTGACAGATTTTGAAAAATTTATTAAGGTCTAATTTACATACTTTTTCTGTTTACATGATGTATATGTCATGTGAGATTATTTGATTTTAATACTCTGGCCTTTTCTTTTTTACTGAGTTCATTTTCCACATGAAAGTTTAGCCTGATAATAGTGAAAAGTTGAGGCTATGTTCATGCAGGCCTACTATATCAATGTCAAACTCTTTAGCTAGACAATCCAGGTGGGCCACAGTCTGGCCCTACCCTACCATTCTTTGTGTCCCAGCAAGCTGTGGACAACCCAATGAACCCTATGCTTCTTGCCTCCAGACCTTTGCCTACTCTGTTCTTTTTTAGCTGGAAGTATCTCTCCCCTCTCTACCTTTGGAAATCCTGAACCTTGTTAAGGCCCAATTCAAAAAAGTGAACTTCCTTGTTTCCTTCCCAAAGAAGGCTTTTTAGCCTTTGGTTTGCCCTTTTGTGCCTCTGTCTACAAAAATACTCAGCTCCACAGTCCAGGGGCTGACTCTGCTTTTCTGTCTCCTATATATCCAACACAGTGTCTTGCAGAAAGAAGCCCTAGTAAATAAATATTTAAATAATGGAAGAGTGGTATTTTCTAAATAAATAAATAAAATAAAGATATTGTAACTGGACACAATATCTTTATTTTATTTATTTATTTTTATGTGGTGGTGAGGATCGAATCCAGGGTCTCACACATGCTAGGCGAGCACTCTACTGCTGAGCTACAATCCCAGCCCCAAGAGTGGTATTTTCTAAACACAGCTGAAAATTAGCTTTTTAAAAAAATACATAGGACTTTGACTTAGACCTCATGAGATTGTCTTGAGATTTGAGAGTCCTGGTTTGAGAGTTGCCCACCATGTATCTCTAAATGGGCTGTGTGTATATTTGGGCTTGGTTTTCATCATTTGTGGGAAAGTTTTGTAGCTCTTAGTACAATAGAATTTCAGCAGTGTGAGCGACAGTGGATTTAGAGAAAATCCACATCATGGGTTTGGAAAATAGGTCAAAATCATGACAAAGAAAGAAATAAATTGTTGAAGGAATTGGGAATGTTTAGCCCAGTAAAGAAGACCTAGGAAAGACCCAGAGTCATTGAATGTTAGAGCTGGAAAGAAACTGAGAATATCTAAGGAATTTCCTTTATTAGATAGGAAGTTGAACAAAGTTGCATCTGAGGCTCCATGTTCTGTAGTTCTTTTCCTATTTGCTGTTCTGATTGATAGAAAACTTTTTTTTTTTTTTTTTTTTTTGACAGTGGTGGGGATTGAACTCCGGGCCTCACACTTGCTCAGCAAGCACTTTACCACTGAGCCACATCTCCAGCTCTGAAAACTATTAATTCACCATTTATATTCTCAACTGAAAATGATATTATAGTTCAGAATTTCAAACTCAGACATTATATTTTTAGGTTTTTAACAGAGTCATAGCTTAAAAAAGCATTTTCCATCCTGTTGTTCAATATTCCTTGCTCATTCATCATTCATAAATTCATCAAACAAAACCCAAATGGACTCAGGTAGCACTTTGTGTTGGGAAATTGCAGTCATACAACTTCCTTTTTTGCATTGTTTGTCAGGGAACTTAGAGTCAAACAAGGTCATCTTCTGAAGCAATTGACTCAAACCAGTGCTTGGTGTGTCTGTTTTCCCACTTCTTTTTTTTTAATTGACTTATGTTTTTTGAAAATTATAAAAGGAACACATGCTGCAGATAAAAAACAAACCAGACAGAACAATTCCCAAAGTGTACTGGTAAACTACTGGCATTCTTGTTAGCTTTGATCTGTATTCATCTTGTTTTTACTTATCTTGTGCTCTATATGTTATATAGCACAGTACCTGAAATTCATATTGTAAATAAAATATTATATTTATTTTATTCAAACCTCAGATGTTTAAAATTACAAATAATTGGATTCCTGGCATCCAGAAAACACATTTGCATCAACTTTACCATATGATCTCCAGATTGCTACTATTGTTGCCAATGGTCAGGCATGGTTCTGTGAGGTGCTAAAATATGTATTTTTTTAAACCTGTAACCAGTCAACTCTGCCTTCTAATCTTCTCCATACTCATCCTAATTGCATCTAATTCATTTTAACATCTTTTCTTTCTGTTCCTTCCCAAAATAATATGTGCTCGGTCCGTATTCTGTTCTTTTCCTTATTTATTTATTTATTTATTTGGATACCAGGGATTGAACTCAGGGTTACGCAACCACTGAGCCACATCCACAGTCCTATTTTTTGTATTTTATTTATAGAGACAGGGTATCCCTGAGTTGCTAAGCACCATTGCTGAGGCTGGCTTTGAATTTGCAATCTTCATGTCTCAGCCTCCTGAGCCACTGGGATTATAGGCGTGCACCACCGCACCCAGCCTTTTCCTTAAATTTTGAAGTCCATAATGACATTTAGTGTTTCTAATCATCACTTAGAATAAGGTTACTCATCATGCTGGTCTTTGTAGTAATACTGGCACATGTGGGACTCTGGCAGCATGAATGTAGTCAGATATGATTCTGTCACACCAAGCCCAGAAAGGACCTCATAGACAGAGTACTCTTTATCTGTTAGTTCTGCCTCTGTTGTTACTACCTTGAGTGAGTACATTGAGGGAAATAAAGGGATTTTTGTAAGAGTTGGGATATTTTAAATTTTCAAATCATCTGACACTGTTTTAAGGATTCTGTTTCAAGAACTTAAAGTGGTATTCTACCTTCCAGTGTTTTACTCCATCCCATCTTTCATTTGGGCTTGCTTCTGGGGAAATAGTGTGTTAGACTTGCTGTTTCCAGCTGTAAGCTATAGACTACCGAATTGCAGGTAGAAGTGGAAGTCTGGAGTTCTGGGCTCTGGTAGACCCCTGGGCTGTGCATGCAAAGGTATGAAAACACTTCTGTTAAAGGAGAGTATGAGGAAGAGGGTCAGAGCCTAGATTGCAAGTAAAGAAACAAAAACTTGTCACTTCCCCCACTGTGGTGACTCTACGTGAAGAGAGGTTCCACCTTTATCCAGGTGACTTTTTTCCTGAGTGGGGAGCTCTGGTGCCAAGTACCAGCTCAGTCTTCCTTGGGCTGGAGTCAGCCTCCAGCCTTAAACAATTGAACTAGGAGCTTTGCCTCTAAATCTCCTTCTTCCCCCATTATCCCAGATTAATGTTCCTAATGCTCTTTTGATGTTACTTTCCTATTCTCAAATTTTCAGGGGCCATTGGTCAGGTCTATTCAGAACCCTCTAAAAATTTTCCCAGATCTTTATTTCCAACTGGCTAGATGGTATCACTTTTTTCCTACTTTCTCCCACCTCCTCCTTTATCTCTTTACTCTGCTTCATTTTATAACATGTCACAAAACAATATAAGAGTGTCTTTTCAGAGGACCTGGGTTCTGTCCCAGGTTAAGTTAGGTACTTAGGTTAAATTATTATTATAATTCCCCTTGCCTCTGTTTTCCCAAATGTAAGAGAAGGAGGCTACACTAGGAGACTTCTGGGTCCCTTGCAACCCAGTCAGAGTTAACTTTTAGACAGAGTTAACTTTTTCCTTGGCTACTTAGGAAATAGGGTTCTTTTCTGTCTGCAACATTTACCTTTCATTGTTTGGGATTGTAGTTAACTTTTTTTTTTTTTTTGGTGGTGCTAGGGATTGAACCCAGGGCCTTATGCATGCAAAGCAAGTACTCTATCAACTGAACTATATCCCCAGCCCTGTAGTTTTTTGTCCTATTTTTTGAACATATTTGTAAACTGAGAGACTCAATGGTGAAGCTACTTTCTTAGGATGTGGGTGAGGGAGAGGGATAGTGAGGAGATTCTACTTTGGGCTTCTACCTTGTATCCAAAAACTGAGAGGAGATGGGATTTGTAAAAGGTTTAAGGTTTTTTCTTATGCCCCCTGTCGGGAGAATTTTTTTTTTTTTTTAAAGGAGGTGCATGTTGGGGCTGGGGATGTGGCTCAAGCGGTAACACGCTTGCCTGGCATGCGTGGGGCGCTGGGTTCAATCCTCAGCACCACATAAAGATAAAGATGTTGTGTCCACCAAATACTAAAAAAAATAAATAAATAAATATTAAAAATTCTCTCTCTCTCTCTCTGTCTCTTTAAAAAACAAAAAAAAGGAGGTGTATGTTTACTGCAAGAAGAATGCAGTCTCCCAGATAATCCCTTCCTGTCTGCTGCAAGGCTGCTGCATCTGTGCTATTGGACTGGCATTCTGCTGCTGAGTTTTCAGGGTGCCGGTCCTCAGGAATTGAGGGTTTGGATGATCACTTCATCTTTCACCATGTGTTTCAGGGCCCTGTTTGACTATGATCGGACTCGGGACAGCTGCCTGCCAAGCCAGGGGCTTAGTTTTTCTTATGGTGACATTCTACATGTCATTAATGCCTCTGATGATGAGTGGTGGCAGGCAAGGCTGGTGACCCCACATGGAGAGAGTGAGCAGATTGGCGTAATCCCCAGTAAGAAGAGGTAAGTTGTCATGATCACAAGCTGATGTGTCTGTCTTGTTTTCCTGTTATACCATAAATTGCATGAGAGTGGTGGATGTGCCTTGATAAAGCCTTTCTGGTCTTGAACTGGTACTTTGGACATGGTTTTCACTTTGTGAGCCAAGGAGTAGCTGCTCTCATTGAGCAGCCCACCTGCCACTGAGACCATGTGCTGGTTACCAGTAACAGGACTTCTTTTTTACTCCCAAACAGAGTGGAAAAGAAAGAGCGAGCTCGATTGAAAACTGTGAAGTTCCATGCCAGGACGGGGATGATTGAGTCTAATAGGGTAAGTGGGGACCCCCAAGGAAGTCATCCAGGATGTGAAGAAGAGTTCAGTCTGATATATAAGAGAACTGGGGAGCACAAAAGAATGTCTCTTTTTCAGGGGTCTGACTCTGAAATGTCAGAAAATTGACTGCTTTTCAGAAGCAGAGAGGGAGCACTTAAAGTCCATAGCTAGTCTGTGCCCCTGCCCCTGGGTAACTGGCTCTGGAAGATGTGCTGGAGTTGGCTGACTTGTTGGGGAACATGAAGACACTCATGGGTATCTTCCTGGCTACAGACCCTGTCAGAGCTGTGGGGAAGAACCTGTTCTCATCATCCTGCCATAAAGGCCTGCCCCAAGCTCCCACCTCCCTTCAGACCACATGAGGCAGGAGGGCTTCTGCATTCACCCCTTTTCTTCTATAAGCTTCACAGGCCAAAGAACTTCCGGAGCAGTAGAGGGAAGAGAGGCATGGAGTAGATGACTCTGTGTGTATCAGTGACACCTTAGGGCCTGTGTCCAGGAGGCTACAGTGACCTTTGTTCTTTAGGAAGTGCCAGTGAGTGCTGTTGAGGCTGGATTAGGTAGAAACTTCTAACATCCCCACAACATTTTCCTGTAAACATAATTTTCCTCTTACATCAACTTTCATTTAATCTCATAGACTCCATTTGTGTAAGATGGTCTTTTATTTAGCTCACCATTGTCTCCATTTTAGTTTTTCTTGCATGCTTTAAAATCCATTGTTCTGTTTTTTTTTCCTTCTGTCCTTCCCCTCCATTTTCATGTTCTTTCACAGTCGATCAAAACGAAACGTAAAAAGAGTTTCCGCCTCTCTCGAAAGTTTCCATTTTACAAGAGCAAAGAAAACATGGCCCAGGAGAGCAGCATACAGGAACGTAAGTAGCAGCAGAGTCCAGAGAGCAGACCATCCTCAGCCCGGTCCTCTCGTCCTCAGCTGCCCTTCCCTCACCAGGAGTCTGGGCGAGGGCAAGGGTGTGTGTCCACACAGTGCTTATTTCCAGAGTCAGGGCAGAAATTGTCCTGCAGTGGGTGATGTTGGGGCTTATCTGCCCAGCTCCTCACTTGGAATGAATGTTGGAAGTTCTGAGGGACTGGTCCCAGGGCCATCCTCCAGGATGTCCCTGGCACTGGTGTTGAAAGTGCCAGACGGAGCTCTGCTGTGGTGGCAAGGAGCAGGTTTCAGCCAGTGTTCAGGATTAGAAAAATGTGTGTGTATGTGTTTTTATTTTTTTTAAGAGAACAAGGTCTAGGGACTCAGTGTTGTTCTCCTGGCTTCTTCCTCTTATGTTTTCTTTCCCTTAACTTCACTCATCTATATCAAGAGAAGAGCCTGTTCTTCCCCAGATTCCTGGCTCCAGGACTACTTCTGGAATTCCATGTATATGCATAAGCACACGGGATATCCACATGGCCCTCAGCAGGGTCACTGTCATCCCAGAGTGTCAACAGAGTGTTTCCATCTGAAAATCCTTCCTGCTTAAATGGGTTGTCATGGAAGCAGTGTTACTCAACATTGTCTAAATAAAGATTTATTGAGAAACACAAAGTTGATTTGGTAGAAAAAGCTGTAACACTGAGGTACCTTAATTTTAAGAACTAATCCTGATAAATCTTCTTACCATACTGTATGCCTCAGAAATTAACTGTTCTGGCCCTGACCTTAAACATAGTATCAGACTTGAAAAAAAAATAGCTTCTTGTTTGTCTCACTGTGAATTGTAAACATCTCTCGTTTACCATTGATCTTGTAGTCTGGGGCTATTGGAACTAGCAGGAGGATGACTCGTTCTGATAGGAAATGGCATTATTTTAGGCCTCTCTGATTCATGGTCCTGGTATGTGGGGGTTGCTGCTGTCTGGGGTATACCTGCTAGATACTAGGTGCCCTCATCCAGATGAAGGTCAAGGCTCATCATTGTGGGGTCGTTTAGTGACAGGGGAAGTTGGTTCTTCCCATGAGCAATAGGAGGCTATTTGAGATACATTTCTGAGGTGATGTCACCACAGTTCACCAGATGAGTCCCAGAACCTCTGTGCAGAGCCCAGCCTTGGGAGGTATCACTGCTGAGTTGTCCAGCTGGTGGGGGTGCCTGTTGGGCAACAGGGTTGAAACTGCCCAATGCCTATTCTCTAGAAGCTGAACTCATCCAAGCAGTTAGAAGTCACACCTCAGACAGTAGCAGTTTTCCCTGAAGGGTTTAGACAGAGTGAGGCATTATTGGGCAAAAGCTCCCCTAAATGATGGTTATTCTGTCTGCCTGCTGTGTCACATGTGGACATGTGCCCACAGAGGGGAATGATGATTTTAGGGAAAACACAGAGACTTGGGCTCTACAACTTTGATCAAAGCAGTTATTCCATGCTTTAGAGTGTCGCCTGTTGTGTCCTGTGGGGCTATGGGCTATGGACAACCTCAGAAAGCTCCAGAGCCCTCTGGCAAGAAATAGAATAGCATCAAGTCCAGATACTTGACCTGACCTGACCTGGGATGTTCTTTCTGTGGCGGAGTTCTTCACCTTGCTGTAGCTCTAGGTCTTCATGGTATTTCATACTTCTGTCACTAATGCTCACCTGCCTCTGTATTCTTCCTTCCCCTTGTCTTTTTTTCTCTGTGTTTTCCTCTTCTCCCCAATTCTCTCCTTCCCTCCCTCCCACCCCTTCCCCCTCTCTTTGTTCTTGCTGTCCGTGAAATTAGGACTTCCCTGGGTTAAGTGACGATTATTATGGAGCAAAGAACCTGAGTAAGTCAAACTTGCACACCATTGACTATTTATGGCATGGTTGAAGGTAGTGGAGGGTGGGGGTGTAGGGGACATGGGTGAGGGTGAAGGGTGAGGGGAGGGCAGTTCTTTCAATAACTCTGTTCCCATGGCAGGAGGAAGGGCATGTGACTCCAAATGTTATTACTTTTGCTCTGGATCCCTGGTACCTAATAATTTCCTAGCATTCATGTCTGTGTTTTCCTTCTGCACCTCTAAGTGGTGGGCCCTCAGCATGATTCCCTAGGCAAGCACTCAGCTCATGTCTAGCTTGTTGTCAAGGGGAGGGTGCCTGTTGGTTGACTTCTCCCAGTGACACCATACTAAGTGAGCTTAGGGAATGTAGCTCTTATAGCTCTTACCTCTAACTAGGGGCAAGGGCACTGAACCCCTGCACCTGGTCTATCTCAGCAGAGGCAGGCCCTCAGTATACAGCACAGGCTTACTTAGAGCCTCTAAGGGGCTGCACCCATCTGGTGGGGACTTCAGCACCACTTGTAGACCACATATATCTAGTGCTTTGTCTTGGGGAAAGTTTGGCCTCTTCATCCTGGAAAATAATCCCAGGGTGGAAAATGAAAGGACCTAGAGGATGGGGCCTTATGGGCTATCCCTCTGTGTGTAGAGGGATGTAGATCCACAGCCTTGCCACTGGGTTCTGTAAGCACGTACTCTCCTTCAATAAGTAATAAAGGCTAAGGGTAAAGGAGCTGACACCAAGGGTCGGTCAGGGGCTAGCCTTGGGTGGCAGCTCAGCCAGTCCTTCCTGGGGGAGCCACAGCACATCATGGTTTGGAACAGTGTGGCCTTGACTGAAACGAGCAGCATCTCTCCATAGTGTGGTGTGTCTATGTCTCATCTTCATCTGCCTGTCATCCTGGGAGGGGTGTGTTTTGTTTGGGCCTTCTGTGAAAGCTGCTCTCTGCTTGAGTTCTTTCCACCCACACTCACAGATGGGAAGGTCCCAACTATCTGAGACAGGGTGGCTGTCTTGTCCTGGAAATGTCCTTGTTGCTTTGTCGTCTTTGTGTTTTGACACATCTGTCTTAGGGTGGATCAAGGTGTATCCCTCTCATGCTGAAGCCAAGCTCACCTTCTTAGGAGTGGTGGCAAAAGGGCTGTGGGTCCCACTGGAGGTCAGAGCAGTGTTCCCTGGTGACTGCTCAGCCTCTCCAGTGTTTAGCCCAAGAAGTTGTGGAGTACCACATGGTCCTGTACTTCAGGGGCTCTGTCTTGGGGGAAATTCATGAGTAGCATGGTCCCTGGACTTTTCTCTGCATCTGTCCCTATCTTTTCTTTCCTGCCATTAGCCTTGGGGGATGCAGTTTGTGATAGGATTTGGAAACCATCCAAGTTGGTTTGTTTGGTTCAGATGAAGAGAATGCTGTGGAAGGAATTGAGTCTTCTAGTGCCTAGGGAGAGACTTGGCAGACTGAGAGGGCTCTGGGGACAAGTAGGAGGTGTCCAGGGTGTCAGGATTGGAGCTGTGCCTCCCAGTTGGTGGCCTGGATGTGGCAGGCCTCCTGTGGCCTGACTCAGTTGGAAGCTCAGTGTCTCATTCCTGAGCATTTGAGTTTTGTGCTGCATGTGATCTCTCAGTGGTGTGTTCTGAATTGGAGTCTCTTTCTTGTTGGCTTGCAGAGGGAGTGACATCCAACACCAGTGACAGCGAAAGCAGTTCCAGTAAGTGTGTGTCATTCCCCCCCATGTCATGTAGCTCCACCATGTGTCCCTGCCATCCTCATTCCAGTGTTGCACAGCTGCCATTCCTGCTCAGAGGCTGCTGCTCCTTTTAGCCATGTACACTTTGAGACCCTGGAAATGCTGTGGCCATTCGTTCTCCTTGTGGGACAAAGTTTGCCCTATGAATTAAAGGAGAGTATAAGCCCTGTAGTTCTGGCCAGAACCAGATTTGAAAGCATCCCTGGGGCCCTGGAAAGGGTGAACTGCCAAGGAGCAAATCTCTGCCATGGGCACTGAGGGACTTAGATGCTGCCAGGTTTCCAGATTTGCTCAGAGACCAAAAGCAAAATGTGTCCTATGAAAAACTGTCCTGAATCTGCCTTTCTAGGTTGCAAGGACCTCCTTGCCTTTTGGCTGGGTCACATAATCAGGAAGGAAATTACCCAGTTTTCCTTCGGAGAGTCCGTGACTAGACCATAGAAGCCACAATTTGAACCTCATGGCCTTTGGGAACATTAGCCTTTAGGAGCTGAGATGGCTAGATGCCTTAAAAATTCTACCCAGGAGTATTAGGCTCTGAAGAAGCCTTTTAGGAAGCATCCTATGGCTCAACATAGCTATCACTGCCTTCCCTGTTAACTGTTGTCAGATACTTGGGGACCTCCAGGTATCTAGTGCCAAGTAGCTTGGCAACTATTTCAGGAAACCCTCGTCATTGCCAGGCTACATGGATGCTTCATCCAGAGGTTGGGTAGAGGGGTGGGTAGGTAGACCCATAAAAGGGCAGAGTTCAGCTGCAGCTTTGGGGATCTGCATGAATACCAATTCTGCCTACAGGTGAAAGGTCTCAGGCAAATGTGTCTCGACCACTTGAAGTGTCCCTGTGATTCTTTCTAGAACACGAGGGCCACTGAACACACTCAACTTACCTATAAGAAAAGTTTAGGGGAAAATGGGGTGGTTTTGGGTGGAAGCTTCATTGCTTCTGGGTCTTAGCCCTCTGCTCAGAAGTATTTCACTGAATAAGAGAACTGCGGACACTGCTCTGGGCCAGCAAGGCTTCCCACACCTTCTCACCCACTGAAAGCAGAGAGGATCATGGGGCAGGTGGTATGGAGAAGGACCACTGGAGAAGATAGTTTTGTGGCTGGGTTGAAGTGCAGTGAATGTCATATACAGGGAAGCAGATCATGAAGTGCTAACCTGTCTCCCTTTTTTGTTGCAGAAGGACAAGAAGATGCTATTTTGTCATATGAGCCAGTGACAAGGCAAGAAAGTAAGTCCCTTTCCAAGACTCTTGCCTTTATGCTAGTCTCCTGCTCATGGTGTGGGCTACCATAGCAGCAGAAGGGAGGGGGTTGAGGGAGAAGGAAGGCTCAACTCATTGCCTATCCAGCCCCTGGGTCATGGCAAAGGTAGAGACCATCCATTGTGCTCCTCTTGCTCTTCTTTTGCCCATTGCTGGGATGCCTTCCAAGGAGAGGGAAGATTTATGAGAAAGGCAAGGGGATGTCTATTTTAGTGAGTGCAGCCTCTGTTAAAAGAGAGGGCTCAGATCCTCCCTTCAGTGTCTGCTTGACCAAAACCTTGCACAGTACTGGTGTCAATGTAGATATCTTTCCTGAGTCCCTTGGAAGGGGAGATGTTCCTGGTTTCAGACTTGCCTGGGACTTAGATATTCTCAAACTAGCCAGGTGTGGTGATGCACACTTGTAAAATCCCAGTAGTTTGGGAGGCTGAGGCAGGAGGATCTCGAGTTCAAAGCCAGCCTTGGCAAAAGTGAGGCCCTAAGCAACTCAGTGAGACCCTGTCTCTAAATAAAATACAAAATAGGGCTGGGGATGTGGCTCAGTGGTTGAGTGCCCCTGAGTTCAATCCCTGGTACGACACCCCCTGCCAAAAAAAAAGATATTCTCAAACTAACGGCTTGTTGATGTCTTTTTAGTTTTTACTCTGGTAGCTCCAGAGCTGCTGTGTTCTAGTCAGACTTAGCAGTGGACTGGATTCCTTGTGGGCCTTCTGTTCACTGTCTCAATGTTCTTCCTTCCTAGTTCACTACGCAAGGCCTGTGATCATCTTGGGTCCAATGAAAGACCGAGTCAATGATGACCTGATCTCTGAGTTTCCACATAAATTTGGATCCTGTGTGCCACGTAAGAGCCCAGGCAGGCCCAAAAGAAGCGGAGGCTGGGGGCCTGGAAATTGCTGCTCTGGGATCAGATTCTAGGGTTCTTGGGAACAGGATTCATTTGATAGTCAGGAAGAGCATAGGCAGAAATATATTCTCCAAGAATTGATGGAGTTGGGAGGACTAAGACACTCTTGGCTTGGCTGCTCTCTGCCCTGGAGAGAAGTTTGGCAATGGTCAGCAATGATTAGATGAATGAGGTAGCCCAGCCAAAAAAAAAAAAAAAATGTAATTTTTTTTGTTCTGTGACTCAATGAACCATTTATTAGGTTTACTGATTCCCATGCCAAGCTCCATACCCTCTGCTCCACCTTTTTGGTCTAGTTTATGCTAAAACAAATAGTCTCCACTGTGTGAGAACTGGAAGTCAGAAGAAAAATAGACAAGACAGACTTCTTGACCTTTTTCTTCTCACTCAATTGGAACAATATTGGGGTGGCCTTGTGACTCTCCCAGATGAGAGAACCAAGTGAGCTTTAGTGGCCCAGCACAGATCATTGCCCTTTGGTAGCATAGCATTTCCTTTCTTTTTTCAGATACCACCCGGCCTCGGCGTGATAATGAGGTGGATGGACAGGACTACCACTTTGTGGTGTCCCGAGAACAAATGGAAAAGGATATTCAGGACAACAAATTCATTGAGGCGGGCCAGTTCAACGATAATCTGTATGGGACCAGCATCCAGTCAGTGCGGGCAGTTGCAGAGAGGGTAAGCAGAGAGATGTCCTGATTAACTGGGACCCTCAAAGTGAAGACAGAAATATTCCGGCCCAAGTTTCAACACAGAGATTGCCAGTGGTAATCTCAAAGCCACACAGTTCTGCATATTTTCATCCTTTTGATAAAGGTGCCTATTTCCCTTACAAAATTCATACTGAGGCATCACCCATCATGGAATAGGGACCTTTAGGCAGAAGTAGCCTTTTCTGGATAGTAGAAGCAAAAAGCTGGGCCTGGGTACCTCAAGAATAGGAACTTCTGGGCCACTCTGGGTGGCTCTGGGTCCCCCTTTAGCGGATGTTTGGAATGCCACTGGATTTCTATTTGGAATTGGGTGGACCAGGGGTAGGTTAGCTGATACAGGTCTTCTTTTTCAGGGCAAACACTGCATCTTAGATGTTTCCGGCAATGCTATCAAGAGACTGCAGCAAGCACAACTTTACCCCATTGCCATTTTCATCAAGCCCAAGTCCATTGAAGCACTTATGTAAGTGTCCACTGAGGCTCAAACATAGCCAGATAGGACGGTGCCCTGGAAAGGAAATGGAGAACAAAATAACTTGTTGGCCAGGGATGGAACCCTGTAGAAGCTTGAAGGAAACTGTACCCTAGCTGAGACCATGTGCCTCTCAGTCTGTTTGGCGTGCCTGTCATGTGCCCTTGGTTGGGATTTTAACCCTGAAAGATTTGAGGAAAGAGTTGGCCGTGGGCCACCATGAGAGAATAGTTGAGCAGGTATTCAGGAAAACTGGAACAATCCTGTGTTTTAATGAAAACATAAGATCTCCTTTGGAACTAGTTTTCCTTCTGTTTCTTTGGTAGGGAAATGAATCGACGGCAGACATATGAACAAGCAAATAAGATCTATGACAAAGCCATGAAACTGGAGCAGGAGTTTGGAGAATACTTTACAGGTAAGAATCCCTGAAGTCCAGCCAGGGGTACTATGGGACCAACCAGACACCTGATCCTGAAAATGTCTCAGGGAGGTTTAGCCAGAGCTTAGGAAGCCTGTCAGAGTTTCAGGATGCTTTGGAGCTATTGAGCTCAAACCTTCCTAAGCAATCAAGTTCCCTCCATCTGGCCATAGCAGGTTAGCCATTTTGTATCATAAATACTCATTAGCTGCTGCTTTGGATCATTGGTATGTTCATTCTGTCTTCCTGTCCCTACTAGATTGCAGGCCCCCTCTATTATAACTTTGTTTCCCTCCATCTCTTCCTCGTATTTGCCTTGCATGTTTCAGGTGCTGAATAAACGTTTGGTGATGATTTCTTGGAGTGTTGTTCAAATTGTCAATGTGTGCATATGTGTATGAGTGTGTCTGTGTGGTCACTTATTTTAGAAGGTCATTTCCCAAAAGGTTGGGAAGGCAACCATCCCTCACCTTTTAAAGTACAGTGACATATGTATGTGTGTGCAGGGTGGTGCTGAGGAAATTGAGGCTGGTGGTGCTGCCAGGTTTTCTGGGTAAATAATTCAGAAATGTACTCACCTGCCTTGGGTCTTTGGAGCTCCCTTTACCGTCAGCATCCGTGTCCTTGTTTGTTGGGCTGACCTCTGACACAGAGCAGATGTGACAGCCCCAGGAGCACTGCCTTTTGCCAGAAATTGTGGTTTTTTTGCTCTTCCTCTGGATAACTGGAATTTTCCAAATCTTTGAGGGAAGCTGCTTTAGAATTACAAGCTGCTGGCTTTATGGTGGCCAAGAGCAACATGAGCTGCAGTGTCTGGCATGTAGTGGGTGCTCAGTAAATAAACATCTTGTGAATAAACACATTTTCCTGTTCATTGCTACTTACTCTCCCTGTCTCAGAGAGTTGACTTGTAGCCCTGTGCACAGGCACCTAGCCAGTTCCCCTCCTGCCCTGAACTTGCTGACAATTGACTAGTGAAGCCAGCCTGGGCTCCTGTGAGTAGCCATCATGCTGGGGGGCATTGTAGGATTGTTGGGAGAGGCAGGATGACCGGGGTTTGGGCAGTGTGCTGTGGACCACAGTAATAATTTTGTTTTCCTCTTCACTTTAGCCATTGTACAGGGTGACTCACTGGAAGAGATTTATAACAAAATCAAACAAATCATTGAGGACCAGTCTGGGCACTACATTTGGGTCCCATCCCCTGAAAAACTCTGAAGAATCCCCTCCAACCATTCTCTTGTGAACAGAAGAAATCAAGTCCCTCTTCCCTCCTCCCTCTTCATTCCTGTCCCCATGGGGAGAACAAATGACTACTGTTCTTGTCCCCTTTTTTAGATATGTCAAAAAAAATTGAGTTTTCTAGTCCTGTTCTTTTTTTTTAATTTTTGTTTTGTTTTCATTTATTTTTTGGGATGATGCCATCTCACTCATCATGTGACTGTGCCCATTCCTGCATGGACCTTTCCCAAGCACTATCACAGGTGCAAATCCGTCAGAGCCATTGTTTTCATAAAAACCAAGCAGAAGAGAAGAGAGGAGGACTGATGGAAAGACAGACTCTGGACAGCTGCACGGCTTGTGAAGTGAGCTAAATGCAGCACATGATGAGGTGCTCCTGGGCACTTCTCCCCATCTGTACTGCTGTCTTGCAGCTCTGAACAGTGCAACGTAATGGCAACAGGAAGTATCTTATTTATATATAGATATATATATGTAATTTATATAAAATATATAGAAATTATTATATATATATATTATACACTCTCCTATAATATATATATATATATATTCACACACATTGGGACTAGAAAATCTATGGAGACTTCGTCAATGGTACTATGTTATTAGAGAAACACTTTAATTTTCATATTCCAATCAGATGGCATCTTATATCCCACCTGGTTGAGAAGGGTTTGAGAATGGTAGAAAGTGCTGTACGGAGGGCATGCACACTTGGTCATTCTCTTGAGAGCTAAGGCTTACTCTTGGCAGGGTCAGCCTGAGGCCTGAGAGAAAGGGCTTTGGCCTGGGAGCGTGAAGTTTGGAGACTTGACCTGAGAGCAGCTGCTGCCCTGAGGTTCAGTCAGTCCTGTGTGCGGGGAGAGAGAGAGAATGGCTAATGATGCTCCATATAAAATTGCCTATTGTTTTATGCCACCTGATGTGTCTGCATGAGAGGTTTCCTTTTTGTTCATTTTTAAGCTGCTGTTAAACCAAAATCATGTTGTGCTACTGTGTCAGCCTTTTCATTATTCCAAATTTTACTTTTACTATTTAAGTGAATGCGTAGAATCCAATTTGCCAATGTTCTAAAGGCTTCCAAGCTTCTGAAGGAGCCAGGCCGTGGCCGTCCAGTCAGCAGAGGGAAAGCGGGGCCCAATGGGCTGGGGAGGAGCTGGGCCCCCGCACTGCCACACTGGCCCTTCACTTGCCTGCCAAGGACATGCTGGACTCTAGGGTTCCTTCATGGGGCCACCGACAGGGACAGGGAGGTGCTTGCCTTCCAGTTCTCTGCTGGGATAGTAGAACAGCATTTGGCTTGGCCAGCCATGTAGTGAGTTTGATTTGGGTATTTTTTGCAGCTGCTCCATATGCCCTACCCCAGCCCCCTCACCAACAGCTGGTAGCTTACTGTTTCTTCAAGAAGAAAGTAGAATTTAATGCTATAAATTTGAGCTGTAGAGCTAAGATTCACTTACTGGTGAGCCGTGAGACTTTGTTGCTTTCTCCCAGAGTCTGATGGCAGTGACTGCGGTCCAGGGAGTTCTCTGCCCACCACCAATGCGGGCAGCAAGGGTGGCCCAGCCTTCCCCCCTCCCCACTGTGCTCCTTTGAAGCCAACGTGCCTCCCTCACCTCCATGCTGGAGGGAAGACGCAGGGGAGAATATAGAAATGCTTGGCCCTAAAGTTGAGCCCACTGGATTAGGACCAGTGCAAATGACACAAGTGTTGAAGATGCTTTAAGCACTACCAGCCAAATTCAGGAAATCTGTTCACAGTTATCCTACCAGCATACTGAGGCTAACTGTAAAGTGTGGGGCCCAGAATGAGGGTAATGAAAGGGCAGCAGCTTTCCCTTGGGCAGTACACTGGATTGAAGGCAAAGAGGGATGAAGTTATGGCCATTGTGCCTCTGATGTGGGGGGTGAGCAGGGAGTGTTGATTCTGTGATGGTAACTGACATGTCTGAATGATGCTGGACCCTCCCTCCCTCCCTCCTGGGGAAGAAAAGCAAAGATTCAAAGTAAGCATGACACTAGTTGGTTTACCAGTGTTCCTTCCAAGGAGACATATATTTTTTAATAAACGATAGTTGCAATGAACTGTGGCTCAGAGACCTTCTTGAAGTAATTGAGCAGGGCTGATGGGGGCACAGTGATGGAAAGAGCTGCCCAAGCATTTGCGTGGAGGTTGAAGGGCTTGTCTCCTCAGTGGATCAGCCAGCAAGCCAGGCCATCCTTGGGATGGGTGCAACCTCTGGGGTGGCGACAGGTCATTTGTGAAACCTGTGTGCTCAGGCTTCTGCCCTGACCCAGATGCTGCCTTATACAGCACTGACTTGATGGGGTTCCACATCCTTGGTAGCCAAATGCTGACTTTTTTTCTAAAGGGTACACAATGTGGGGGAGGCCTGCAGCAGCAAAGAGGTCTGTTAGAAAAAGCAGGGGCCAGCTTAGCAGCGGGGAGCTGAATGAGGAAAATGGTAAGAGAAAACTGCCTGCCAGCTTTCAGCATTGTGAGAATGAGGGAGGGATGGGGCCCCATTTGCGGTCTTCCCTGTGGTCCTCAGAAGAAGTGTTCATAGCAGGTATCTCTGACATGGTTGATGCCACTGCAGCTCTGTGGAGGAGCCTAAGAAAGTGCTTCCATAATTAAGGTCAAGAACGACAGCCGAATGAATGAGCAACACCAACGTGGGTGGACTGAGCCACAGTAAGGATGATTATCCTCACTTGTTTATGGTGCTTTATTATTTGCAGGGCACTTGGCTTTCCCACATTCTCTCATTTGCTAGAAGGCAGCCCAACAAAAGGGAGTCCCCAGAGAGCTCCATGGGGATTTGAGGAAATTTTAACTCCTGAGTGCAAAGGGAATATAGGTTTTGGCCTATAGTTGTGCTGTGCTGAGACTGTCTTCACAGCCAGTGTCCCTCCTGGAGGAAGTACAGCTGAAGAAAATTATGCCCCAGCATGAGAGATAACTGGGGAAACAATAAAAGGAGTCAGGCCATGGGACCCACAGGCAGCTCCCTGGCTCCATTGAGGAGCAAATTTGGGTCTTCTCCCAGTCCTGCTGCTGATGTCTTGATTTCTTCATCTCTAACAGGAAGAGCCACAAATGTTCATGGGATGATCTATGAGTGAAATATCTGTTCAAACACAAATAACCAACTTTATCTGCAGTTGAAAGTACTTCTAGACATTAGCTAAGGAAAGCAAAATCTTTCCTCAAAGCAAGTGTGGAAGTCAAGGGCTCAAGGACGAAGCTAATGTGGTTTGCAGAATAAAAGTGGGATTGAGCTGCACAACTAGGAAGAGCTGAGCAAAAAAAAGGTGGAAACAGAAGGGGCCCTGGGCATGAGCCGGAAGGTGGGTTCTAAAGACAACCAGAGCCTTTTCTGCAGGGACGGTACCTTCTTGGTGCCAACCACTGAAAGCCAAGGTATGAGAGAACCTCATACAATGAGATGAGCAGTGGCCCAGATGCCTAATGGACTCATGGTGCCATTGGTGTTACCCACTCTGTCTCACTGTTCCCATCTAGGATTTCATGGCCTCAATTCCACTAATCTTTTCATTTAGTCAGGCTGCCTTGGCACTCTAGGACATTTTATTATTGCAAATAATGTTTTGAAGCTCAAATTCCAATTTCCTTAAAAGCCCCCATCACTTCCAAGAGATAGTATAACTGGCTCCATATACCTCACTTCCTCCCCAGTGAACAGGGTGTTAATACCTGAGCTTTGCCAGAAAATAGAACTTCTTTGACAGTGAAGCCTCAACAGATCTCTGCAGAGCCATCCCCATTGTGCACAGCGTGATGCACATGGGTGGCCTTTTCCACTAATTAGACTGAACTACCAGCACAGCCCATCCTTCCTCTACCCTGGTAGGCTAACCACAAGTATCCAACACTTCTAGAACTAGCAAATAGGTGACCCGAGAGCAGACTTCCCACCTGTGCTCTCCCAGTGAACAGCACTAGCAAGAGAATGTGCTGACTGGCCTTACTGTTTGCTACAAGCAGGCAGCCAAAGGAACCAGCTCCCAAGCTCCTTAGCATGGCCCTTCTGCAGTTGGGCCTTGGTTTTTCTCCTGCTGTTGTCTCCCTCTGCTCCAGCTGTTTTGAGTTCCCATAATACACTGCAACCTCAGATCTTGGCTCATGCTTCTTTTGCTTATAAATGCCCTTGCTGTCACCCATCTTGCTCACCCAGAAGGCTCCTCTTTTTGTTGTTTCTGTTTGTGTATTGGGGTACTGGGTACTGAACTTAGCAGTGCTCTACCACAGAACTGAATTGCAGTCTTTTTTTTTTTTTTTTATTTTGAGATGGGGTCTTACAGTGGGGCACACCTGTAATCCTAGTGACTGGAGGCTAGGTCAGGAGGATTGCAAGTTTGAGGCTGGCCTGGCAACTTAGATCCTGTCTCAAAATAAAAATTGTGTGTGTGTGTGTGTGTGTGTGTGTGTGTAAATAAAGCTAGGGATGTAGCTCAGTGGTAAAGCTCCCCTGGATTCAATCCCCAATATAAAAACAAAAACAAAAAAATAAGCCCCTCTACCTATGCCACCTTTCCTGAACCAACTCCTTCCCTGGAGGTGTAATTGACCCTCCCTTCCTGTGTGCTTTGTCCTCTAACAGCTAACATCTGTTTCCTGCTTGCAGTGTGTCAGGTGCTATACTAAGTGCTTTAAGCAATACTATTCCATCTATTGCCAAAAATGGTCCTATGGTGTAGGTGCTTTTTATTATCCCTATTTCCTAGATGGGAAAACTGAAGCACAATGTGGTCACATGACTAAAAAGTGACAGAACTATGAACCAAACAGACAATCTAGCTATAGCAGCTATGCTCTTAAGTACCATGATGGCCTGTCACTTTGTAATACTCAGAACATGGTGCTGCCTTTATCTTTATTTCTGTCTCCTAGTCTCTCTGAGATCAGAGACTGTTTTGCTCATCTGCAAATCCCCAGCAGTCAGTGCAGAGTCCACAGAGCGTAGGTACTCGGGAAAAGAGAAGAGCTACAATATTCTTTGGCTCAACCTTAGAGGGAAGTGATTTGAGTAGATCCAAGCCTGTGGTGATTGAATTTGTTTGCTTTCTGGACTTCTGCAACTTCCTCTGGCATACTGCTCCATCCTATGTCCCCTCTCTTTTTCATCTTCTAAGGCTTCCCCCTCCTTTACACACTTTTGTCTTCTCACCCAGAGCCAAATTGTCTACCTACCCTGCACCCCTTTACTGACCATCATTCCATCCATTCAAGTGCCTGTAAGCTCTCAAAGGCCAGCCCTCATTGCCTAAGCTTGACATTCAGAGACCCTAGAAAAATGAAAATGCCATGTCTCTTCTCTCCTGATGACTTCATGTATGTCTAAGCTACCCCTTCCCTACCATAGGCTCCACAAAGTGGCACCATTGTCCAACATTCCACACTCAAGCTCTGATCTGTTTTCTTTAGGTCATCACATCCAGTCTCTTACCAAAACATCTTGATTATTTACAGTGTCTTCAACATGGTCCTTTGTAGTCATTATCACTCATTATCACAGCCCCTACCCTTGAACATCAAGAGATGCTGCTTGTAAAGCACTTACTGATGGGCATTGTGCTTGGAGCTGACAAGATAATGACAGAATAAATACAGTCCCATTCTCAAGGACCCTATAATCTATAGAGATGGAGCAAAAAGGAAGTAAATGACTACAGAATTACATGTGACTGTGAAGGCCACGAAGAAAATGCACAGGGTACAGTGACAGAGGTGGTGGTGGGGAATGTGCTTGGAAAAGACCCAGGGAAGTCTTTGAGGAGGTGACATGCAGGTGGAAGCCTGTAGGATCAGCAGAACCAGACTGGGGAGAGGACATGGATGTGAGAAGGGAACATCCTTTACTGCACTGGCCTAGTCTGCTTTTGCAATGTTATCTCCTGATATTTCTCTACAAACTCCTTGTAGAGAACTCTCTATACACTCCTTGCCTTTTTTCTTGGAGTATGTCCTGTGTCT